TTTACACATTTTGTTGGTAGAGATTTAGTTTTTTTTTAAAACCAAAATTTTGGTGTGGGCTGGGAAAATGGAATAAAATGGCATTTTTAATTTTTTTTTTTTAAATTACCATCATATTTTTTCGGTTAATAATTATTTAGGTTTTAAAGGCTGTCCATCGATGATTTGTGAATATATTATATAATAAAAATAATTTTTATTTAATGGTAGCTAATTATATTAGCCACTTTAACAAAAACAACATACCAGCATTTTTTCAATAGCTACTATATTGGGCCTTTTTTAAATGCGGTTAATTTATGATTTATATATATATGTAATAACAATCAAGTTAGTTTATTTTAAATTAGAAATTATATGTATTCTCATCAGTCATCAGTTATTATAATACGTTGTAATTGATTAGAAACAAAAGAAAGGGGATTGCATGGGGGGTTTTAATAATTATTATAGAAAAACTATACAATGTTAATTAGTTCATTTGTTTGTTTCTATTCCACTACAACTGTATTATTATTATATATATGTAAAATGTGTAACACTTACCTCGACTAGCTGTGAACTAGCTTTGATCTTTATGAGTTTTGAGATTTGTATATAGATGTTATTGTACTATTGTATTACACTATGATTTATATTTTTTTTTGTTTAAACTGATCGAGTGTTACTCAATACGTCAATATTTATTTACAATGATTTGGTCTCGTTTGATATACACAATGTCTCAGTATTTATTTGTAGTAACACGTATGTAATGTTTAATAACTGTGGATATGATTTTTAGGATGTATGTTAAGTATATATAAATGTTATAGTATGCTCAAATACAATATTTCAAAAAACCCATTCGACCAGATATTCTTTCGAATTCCAGCAAATGTCTTTTTTATTTTATTAACGTTTGTATTATAACTACATTATAAATTGGACACACAGGATATATGGATTTTTGAGTTGTTATCTTTCGAGGATGTAAAGCAAATAGATTGTGTGTATATCGCAAGAAGTTTTGGTGTAGGTAAAAATGTAAATAAAAGATGATTTGTTTAATTTATGTTATCATAAAGTATGAATTTAGAATCAATAATGAATCATACATGGTGTATTAATGTAACGTAATATTCAAATTTGAATAAACAATTACGAATGATGGAGAGTTATTTGTTTGAAAAAGATAGATCGAAAATTTGTGTGTGTCTTCGAAGTTGAACGGCGTCGGTCTTGCATACTGGTCCGGTTAAGAAGATGCTCTGGTGCAGAAGCATTGTGCCTGTAGAGGGACCCACAGCTGTGCTTGTGGACATGGACTGGTCTCGAGATGGACTGGGCGATTTTCCGATTTTACTTTGCCGTTATATAACTGGTTTTATCCCCTCTTAGATCATAGCAGCACAGCATCACGCGTGCTGGCCGCCTGGCCTTGAAGTTTAGATGTTGACGCTCGTATTGCATTTCATGCATTGACGAAAATCCACTGTTGTATATCATTGTTGAGGTAAGCTGTAAGCACATATTACTTGTGATTGTGATTTTCTAAAAAATGTATGTATTTGTGATTTTATGTTGTTGTGACTTGGAGTACTCATGCGGAGTTGTTCTGTGACTCGTTGGTTGACAAGGTTGAATGGTACTTGAAGTAAGGAGTGTGTTTTACATGGCGAGGAATGTGATAAAGTAATTATAAGTTATTAAGTTTGTAAGTTAATATTTTTGATTTTTTATATTTGGTCTGTATGCTTATTTTTCCTATTATTATTTGTGTGTCAATATTATATTAAGTTTTGTGGGTATGTAGAATCGGATGCTGGCTAGGTGATAAGTCTAGAATGTGTAGTTGTTTTAATTGGCTTGTTATTGTATACGATTGCGTCGTGTGGTACATCTCAGTATAATTTTTTTGATATCTGCTGTGAGATGATGAGAATAGTGTAATTACGAGTACTTTGTATTACCTAGTTATATATATTTTTTAGTCTGATTGTCTTTTGTATTTCCATACATGGAAATCATTGATGCGTTCATGGCTGTGAATTATAATATTTTGATAGTGATTCTATTTATAAACTGTGTTCTGGTAATCTGAATCCGTATGTGATTATTATTTTGCGTGTTGCCTTTTGGAGTGGCTGTATCTCACAGCCGAGGTATGATGCAATCGAATTCCTTCTAGGTGGTCTGGATTTATTTTGATTTAAGTTATGTAGGTAAATAATTTATTTTATTATTTTAAATTGTGTTTTTAATTTTATACACCGATGTATGATCGTTATTGGTTAAAAATCATTTTATGTGTTTATTAATGTAGAAGCAGGTAGATATATAATACATTGATTCGTGTTCCCTTATTGGAATTTATCATGTATTTAGAATTAGATTTTTTATTTAACTTTCCATTTTAGATTCTGAGTGAAACGATGAATGTATTGATTTTACAATGATGTGTGTTTTTTTATTTTTTATTTTTGTGCCTGTGTACACGATAAGTAATCGAAATAATGCTTCGATTTTCAACTTCATTATCTTTTTCGAAGGGAAAGTGAATATCGTTGGTGCATTGGGAAGGTAAAAATTTAAAATTCCCAATAGTTTTCACAAGGGCCGGGAATAACAACATACAAATTAAGGAAAAACGGGAATTTTTAGGCAAAATCGATTTTTCACAAAATTGAATTTGGTTTTTGGTGTGACTTTAAAACAAATGACCGTAACCTGTGACCTGTAGTAGATACATGACATTTTTACTGGTTGTTTATATTTGCATTTCCTATACACGATAAAATTTTAAAAATATTATGATTTATTTTGAACTGTTTAGGGACATTTTTATTTTCCATTTTTTTCTAAAAATATCCATAAAATTTTATTTGTTGGTTAAAAAGCTTGAAAATTTAATAGAAGGCTCCTAGTATATTGTTTCAAAGGCAGATGAAAAATATTAAAAATCCTTAGTCACATTTATCAAATTTAAAATTGAACAATTATTTTGTAGTTAAAAATTTATAAAATGTTCAAGTTTTATATCTAAGGATTGAAAATTTAAAACAAGATTCCATGTAAGTATTACATGTCAAATTAATATTAAAACCTGAAAAATTAATCTTATGAACTATGAATAAAATTGAATGATAAAAATGATTAATATAACTGACTGAAAAATTAATGGATGTTTATAATGAATAAAAATAAAATATTTAAAAAACAATAAAAAATATAAATGACACATAAAAATTGTAAAAAAAAATAATAATCTTTATGTGTCATTTATATTTATTATTATTTTATAAATATTATAGTTTTATAAATTATAAATATACATTAATTTTTCAGTCAGTAATATTAATCAGTTATGGTTCAATTTGAAAAATTAAAAAAAAAGAAAATTTAAGAAAAAACGAGAATTTGTACGCAAAATCTGTTTTCAAAAAAATCGATTTTTGTTTTTAGTGCAACATATAAACAAATGACCTTAGGTACATGAAATTTTGACTGAATGTTTATATTATCATTTTCTATACACCATAACATTTTCCAAATATTTTCACTTATTTTGAGCTGCTTACGGACATTTTTATTTTCCAATTTTATTAGTCTTCTTTTCTATAAGTATCAATAAAACTTTATTTGTTTTGTAATGAAGCTTGAAAATTAATACAAGTCTCCTACTATATTGTTACAATATTAGTTGAAAAATATTAAAAATACTTTGTTACAATTTTTTTTATAAGCATTTAAAATTCAAACTTTGACAAAAATTCTCTCATTTCAAAATTAATAATAATTTTGTAGTTAAAAATTTATAAAATGTTCAACTTTTATACCTAAGGATTGAAAATTTAAAACAAGATTCCACTTAAATAGGTTATATATAAATTACTTTATTCACGAGAATACCATCAAATATATACTTCGTAATATCATAGGCTACCACTCACATCAATAAAATTCAAATTTTTCAAAATAAAGTGCTACGTATTATTTCCAACGCGCCTTGGTTTATAAGGAACGTAAACCTACACAAAGACCTTCAGATCCAGGAAATCACAGACTACATTAAAACCTCATCAAAAAACTTCCATACCGCACTGCTCAGCTCTCCTGGCTCACTTCATTATCAGCTCCATATACAGCAGCTGTTGCTACTCGTAGCGTCAACTTAAGTTATACAACTTGCCATTTATTATCTGTTATACCTTTATATTGCTATTATTATTGTTAATATTATTATTATTATTAAGTTGTTATTATTATTATTATCATTTTTTATTATAATTACTTACTTAAATTATCTTATTCAAAATGTTAAAATGCAACTTATAATTAATATCAATAGATGCAGATAGCCATGGCTAGGAACATCTTATATTATAATAAAAAAAAAAAAAAAAAAAAAATATCATAGGCTGACTCACCGTTTTCGCTCAGAATCGTTTTTCTTATACAATGATATTATATCATTGAATTCAAATTTAACACCATCCATTACAGTGAACCACTTGTAATCTACTGAGCAGAGCAGAGCGATTTTTTTTTATTCAAATTGGACTTTTTAATCTAATTCAGATTTTGTATTCAAAAAGGCTTTTTATTCAATTAAGATTGATTATTCAACAAGTCTAATTAGATTTTATTCAACTTTCATTTTATTTTTATCCAATAAGGTCAAATAAAAATCTTTTCCCCAGAACCCCCACCAAACTTTTGTTTCAAAAAAAAATTAAATTTCTACAAACGAAAAAAATTAGATTAAAAACCAATACAAACAGGCTACAAATGAATGGTAAAAAAAAAAATCAAAATTCTAAACTTGGGCATTTACGCAACCCCCACCAAAATTTTGGTCTTAAAAAAAAAACCAAATCTCTACAAACGAAAAAAATTAAATAGCAAAATAATACAAATCTGCTACAAACGAATGGTAAAATAAAAAAATAAAATTTCGAAATTTTGGGGCTGGGGAAATGTACCTAATATTGTTCGATATTTGTGGTGGGCCTATGCCCATGCCCCTCCCGCCTCTTAATCTGGGCCTGTACATGGTAATATTAACTGTATTGACGTATTGTACAACAAATACAAAGTAATTTTGTCTTCATCGATTGATAATTTTGTTTTTATAATCTTAATTCTTAAGTTTAATACATTTTTATAGCATAAGTAAAAATGGGTAAGTTATGTGAGTAAACACAATTAAAGCTTTCAACAATTATTTCTCTGTAAATTTCATATGATCAGAGCAGTAAAGATAAAGTAGAATATAACTAGATATATATCCCTAAAATTAAGGAATCGTAGATAAGTTGTTGACGTTTTTGGATGTCCTAGCTAGTGCAGAAAAATAATATCTATTTGCATTCTATTATAAATTAATTTTTAGAATAAAAGTTCTTAATTTTCGTTGTTTATGGCAATAATCAACTTGTTACACGAAATCAGTTATAAAAAAAAGTTGTATCATACAGCCCATAAACGTTTCTATGTTAAATTCTGTACAATTTAGGTATCCATGCAATTAAATTTGTCTTGAAAGTGTTTAAAGTGTTATCACTGACAATAACCAGAACATAGTCAAATCATGATATCTATCGGTGTTTAGTGGTACCTATATGTTAATCCACAGGGAAAAGTACATCACAATAATGTTCCATCTGAAGTCGGTATACATGAAAACATTTCAAAGAAATCAATGGTTCGAGAGTATTATGAGGAAACCCAGGAACGGAAACGACGGACACAGCACTCAATTGCGACTAAAAATTACTGTTTGGCCAAGAAGAATTACGAAGATTTTAAGAGACAAACGAGTATGAACGACGGACGTACAACGTTCAAAAGTAGTTAAAACGTATTTTTTTTTAGAACAAATAACAAAAATCAATAGAAAACAAGTCACGGGACCAAAATGGTACCAGGAATTGTCTGACCAACAGGTACATACATTTATTATTACTAGACACTCGATGTCTGAAAAATTATTAAATCAATGGCGTTATCAATATCCAACTAAAATACTCAATTCCGTACACTATTTTTAAAATCACAATACATATTATAATTTATAAACATTTAAAATTATAAAATATATGTTTAGTACTGTAGCGTCCGCTTTTTGCCTGGTGACCAGTATGTTCCGACGCTTTTCCTGTAAAGGTTTATATTAACCAGTCTTGAAGTACTTGAGTAAAAGTATTTGAGTAAAAGTATTCAAATACTTTTTAAGTACTCAAATACGTATTCTAAATACGTTTGAAAAAAGTACTTGGGCACAGTATTTGAATACTATTTTGAGAGTATCTGTATTCAAAATCAAATACTATTTTTAAATACTTTTTTCATCTTACTTTATTTTAAATAAGAAATACCAAAATGAAATAAAATAATACAAATTTAAAATTGTACAACATTTTTATTTATAGATCGTTCATAGTTGTATTTTGGTATTTTGGTATATTGTAATATTTTTAGTGGTCCATAATTTAATTGAATGTATACAGTCTGTCGATTTCCTAATGAAATTTCACTATTTCAAATACCTTAACTTGGATTATTATGTATATTATACATGTATAAATCATAACGATAGTCGATAGTTAATTAGTTAATATATTATATCTATACATTATACACGCAACCTGCATTCGGTTATTCCTGATAATCCGTCTTTGCATTATCGCAGAATATGATTCAATACATTTTACATTTGTAACCGGGGAGGGTTACAACAAAGTTTTTTTGTTTATAATTTTAATATGTACTATTCAATTTTAATTTATTATTGCTTAACGTCTGATCAATAGTAACATAATTTTATATTTTTTACATCCACATTTTGTCTGTGAACATATTATTTAGTATTATTAGATGGAATTTAATAACTTTTTCAATATATTCACTAAACTTAGAATTTTGATTATTTTGTATTAATTATTTCTATAATTATTATGGAATTTAATATTTTTGTTAGGCATTTTCTTATATCTGTTATTTCAGTTTGATCTTGTACCTAGCCATTGTTATTAAAAATGTTGGATTATAAATTATTTAATTCTCTATAATATTAGTATTAATACATTGATCTGAGAAATATTTTAACCTTATAGATTTTATAGGATAACAACACAGTTATTAGTTATAACTTATTACTTAAGAATATTATAATGTAATTGTTCAGATTTCCCAAGAATTGACTTTAAACTTTCTTTCTGCCGTATGTGATACTTCAATTATATTTTCTCTTCCATACATCAGATTTCTGTACTGGACAATCTTTTTCGTAATATGAAAGAAGATTTCGATTTGGCCACATCAAAGAGTACGAGACGTGCACTCAAAGCTTTAGGTGTTCGTACATTCATCCCGCATCATGTGGCAGTAGATGCTTTGGTCAAAACTGAACTTTATATAATAGATTTTCTGCAAATAATTAAAGATTACGTGATACAAAAGAACAATGAAAAAAACGGCCATCAAACAAGTTAGTCTGCTTTCCAACCACTTAAACAAAAATAATCGTTTAGATCAATAGGCTTAATAGGAGTACTAAGTTGTTGCGTCAAACACAATCGTTGATTAACATCTTCAATACATAACCTAAGAATAATACAAATAGTATATTAGTATGTAATTATTATTTGACTATGTTTGATATATTTTTTCATCGTTTTATGCTCATATACATTATTTACTAACATTTTAATATGAAATTCAACTATAAATATTCATGAACATTTTCAAAAAAATGTTAAAATCCTGAGGTTTTTCTATTTTTATTTTTTCAACTTGAAAATGTATAGAATAAATTAATTTTTAATCAAAAACAAAACTCTTAGGTATTGTATTGACTTCCTCATAAAATAAAAATACTAACAGTTTAATAACATATACTTTGTTACTAAAAAAAAGTATGTTATAAATTTAGAATTTAGAACTAATATAAATAATAAATATTTATATTTATTATTTGTATTCAAGTAACTTCGGTTAAAAAAAAAAAAAAAAACTATAAAAATAAATGTTATAATAAAATGTTCAAGCTTACAGCTGCATTCGATATTATAGTTTCAGGTAACATAAAAAAAGATTATTTTCCAGAAGAAAGGATCTTAATGAGTAGTATACTTCACGTAGCATATCCGTGTTTTATCAACAGACTAAATTATTTTCTCAAGGACCCCGTACCTGAAAAAAATCGTAAGAACTTATTATATTGTTGTAAAAAAACTACTTAAAAATTATTTTTGATTATAACTCATTAAATTCTTCTATATTTCTATTTTATATATTATAATACTTATCTATTATCTAATGTATGATTTATAAATATAAAACCTTACTCGTATTATTACATTAAGTCGTACAAAATACAGTTTTACTGGCACAACTACTAAACAAAAAGTTAAGCTGGGTAATAGGTATATAATATTATTATGTGCCTCGGAGCGGCACAGTGGCTGACATCATTCACGCGACGTGATTGAGAGTAATCAACTGTCGCTGACACTAGTTCTCGAATGGGTGACCACCCTAGTTCGTAGTTCGCAAAAACTTTGAAACACATAATACACGTGTTCCTAACCGACCGTACTAACCATCCCAACCCTACTGTAAAAACTCTACCAACCTTACAAGTTTCAATATTTCTCAGGCCTCTATTATTAAACCTCAGACCCCGAAGCCTTAAACCTAAAAAAAAAAAAATAAAAACTATTATCATCTATAATGCTGACAATTATAATTTATTTAAATTTTTAAATTTTATAACATTGAGGTTTATATTATTTAAATTCACTATTTCGTACTTTCACATGTTTACTATAATATCATATCAACAAAAACTATTAATGCAGATCAAAATCTTGAATTTAAATTAGACGATTTATTTAATAAAAACAATATTTGTATTTGCATCAATCATACCTATCCACCCAAATTTGTCAACTAAATATCAAATAATAATAATTTAATTTAAATCGTTGTACCTTAAATAACTCAAATCACATATTTTTAATATAAAGTTTTTATATTGATTGGGTTTCTGATTTCAGTTGAATACATGAAACTTCCGAAATCAACGAGATCCACGAAAAAATATACATCTCCCTATTTAGAACCGTTACCCCAACCTCATCACCCGTGGATTAAAGTTAAAGAGGTTAATTTTCATAATAAGAATGTAAGACAACAAAGGATGCGTAATAAAATGAAAGCAATACACTTGCAACAACAACATAACAAGGAGGTAAATAATAATCATCACACGCACAACTCATACGGGAAGATTAAAAATATCGAAGGCCATTTAATTTTCATAATATTGTTCATGCTGAAATTCACGTATACTATATCTTCAACCATATAATTTCGTAATTCTTCTATTCCCTCCTTATTTAAAATAAATTAAATAACAATCTACAAACATCAATAAAAAAGTTGGTAAGTGGATGTCACTTTACTGTACAGTAGGTTACGAGCGTGTCACTGTAATGGATGGATGGTGTTAAATTTTAATTCAATGATATAATATCATTATATAAGAAAAACGATTCTGAGCGAAAACGGTCAGTCAGCCTAGGATATTACTAAGTATATTTGATGATATTATTGTGAATAAAGTAATTTATATATTTACTTAATTACGTGGAACCTTGTTTTAAATTTTCAATTCTTAGCTATAAAAGTTGATTTTATAAATTTTTAACTACAAAATAATTATTAAATTTTAAATATGATAAATTTTGTCAAAATGATTATAAAAAAAAATTGTGACGATGTATTTTTAATATTTTTCAACTGCTATTATTATAATATATCAGAAGCCTTGCGTTAAATTTTCACGCTTTTTTTACAAAACATATACAATTTTGTTGATGTTTATAGAAAAAAAAACTTAGAAAATTTAAAACTGACAATGCCCGTAAGCAGCTCAAAAAGAGTCAAAATATTTTCAAATTTCCATGGTGTATAGAAAATGAAAATATAAACATTTCATAAAATTTGCATGTATCTACAGATATTCATTTTTTAATAAAAATAAAATAACAAAACCGCTACATCAGAAATCGATAAACATCAAATATTGTAAAATTATGAACTTCAGACATTCATAAAAATTTAATTTGATTTGCTTGTAGACATTTGTTTTTTGATAAAGGTAGATAAACTTATGAGTAATCTTGTACTACATTTTCAAATCTTATATTTAAAAAGAAAAATTTTTATGAATTCTAAACTCAAAATAATTTGTTATTTTCCTGATTTTTCCTTATTTTGCGAAGATTTGAACTTTAAACGCTTATACAAAAATTCATAGAAAGAAAGACTAATAAAATTGGAAACTTTAAATGTTCCTAAACAGTTCAAAATAAATCAAAATGTTTTGAAAATTTTATCGAGTATACAAAATGTAAATATAAACTACTAGGTAGTGAAAATTGCATGTATATATTATATACGTTAATTTGTTTTAGAGTTAAACCAAAAACCAAAATCGATTTTGAGGAAAATCAATTTTTTCGTAAAAATTGTCATTCTTCCTTAATTTTTATGTTGTTTTTCCCGTCGCTTCTGAAAACTATTGGGAGTTTTAAATTTTGACCTCCAAATGCGCCAACTAGATTCACTCTTCCATAGAATAAAGTACTGTTGAAGAAAATCGAATCAGTTTTACTGCCCTAAACCGTGATGACAGACACAAAAAAAAAAAATAATAAAAAAAAAAACACCCATTGTAAATTCAATACATTCATCGTTCCACTTAGAATCTGATAAAAAACATTACATGATCTACAATTCCACATTAGGTATAACAATAAAATGGTGGACAAGTGGGTACCGCTCTACTGTATAGAAGTTTTCAAGTACCTATTGGCATGTTGTGTTCAAGTACACCAGTGGCGTATTTACGGGGGGGTCCATGGGGTCCGGACCCCTCCCATTGACTCGTGTCTCGTACATGTTAAATGTTGTGCAGTTTTTACATGATTAAAAAACAAATTTTATCATACGATTTTACGGATTGTATAAAAAATGTTCGAAGCTATAGTTATATCAATATTTTCAATAAATATCGTGATTATTTTTATCAGTTGGGTACCGGAAATGATTGAAAAATACCAAATCCATTTTTTAATTCAAATATTTTGTAGTTTTGTACATTGCCAGTATCTACAACCACTCCAGAGAGATCTTTTCAACTTTTAAGGTTGAAAAGCTATCTAAGATCAACTATGAATGTAGTAGGTACCTAATGTAATTAAGGAAATATTTGTATAAAAGGTATAACATATAGCTATATATTCGATTCTGAGGGATCTATTGGTTCTACAATGGTGTTTATTTTTTTTCCTGTATACAAAATTTCTTCCAGAAAGAGTGCTTCGATTTCAACATGTATAGACATATAGTAACTTATCTTTTAGAAAATTGGATCAAGATTACTATCTTAGAGTGGTCATTTTTTGATTTTCTCAATAGTTATTTAATGCCACTGTAAAAACCACCAAAAAATTACGAAAAACCTCTAAAAATGGGATTTTAATTTCTAACACTTTGTCTATCACCATAGAAAAAAATAAAAAATAAAAGTATTTCATTATTAATTCAACTAACAGGCTATAATAAATAATAACAATATAAAATATCCAGAGTGACAAACAGTCTTCACTCAGAATCGTTTTTCTTATACAATGATATTATATTATATCATTGAGTTCAAGTTTAATACAATCCATTATACATTGACCCACTTGTAACCTACTGTACAGCAGCAGAATGACATCCACTCACCCGCTTTTTTTAAAATTTGTTTTGAACATATTATTATTTAATAATTAAAAACTCGACAATTTTATATCGTCTTATAAATATGGTATATTTTATTTAATAAAGAGTAAATGGGTGGTGTAGGGGGCTTCGTCCCCTGTGGCTCTGTGTTCTGGAGTTCTGGACCCTCCCCATGACAAATTCCTAAATACGCCACTGAAGTACACCTCATTGTATTTTATACTTATATTTGAATTCAATTATAAATCTTTACATACGTAAAACGATTTTGTCATCTGAACACTGAGCATAGTTGTGTACTTGTGTCTGCCTATGAATAATACAATTTAATGACTAAAAAAAATGTATAAAAACAAAAATATTTCATAGACATAAATAACGTAACTTATTAAAATTCCTAATGCCAGCCATGAAAAGAAAAAGTTTTATGAATTTATAACTGAAAACTATTTGCAAATTGTCTGCATTTTGATGAATTTTGTGAAAATCTGAACATATAAAGAATATAACATAATTTGATGGTGACAATGCAAAAGGACATAAGCGACACTTTTTATGAAATCGACTTTTTGTATTTATTGCATAAGCGACGTCATTCTGTATCGATTGCTCTTCCTCATTTATCGATACGATTATTATTTATGGTATTAAACGAAAATTTAGATTTAGAGATAAGCGATAAAAAATATAAATTAATTAACATGTATATGTATAAATAGGGAATAAGCGACATTTAGTTTTAAATGTTAGCATAAGCGCCATAGTTTTACTTTATGGGGCTTAAGTGACAACATCATTATTATAGTTAACAATAGATATTATATAAAAAAAACCATTTTCTGTTATCTGTTCGGTTGACATTAAATAATAATAATAAAAAATAATACAATTAATACCTCGTAATCTTAAAAATGCAATATCGTAAGAAGTTATTAACATTTTAATTCCAAAGAGAATATTATTTATCTACGTTTCTATTAAAATAACATGTCATTTATTTATGATTAATGATTATAAATTATAATATTATTATCAATGAAAATGAATTACCTATGATAGGTAGACTATTTGTGTTTTATAATAATTATTAATTTTGAGCTTGAATATTCACACAATAAGAAGAAAATTAATAGGACATAAGCTCCAAAATACTAGTACTAAAATTATAGGTAAGGAAATTAATGGGGCATAAGCACCCAATTATATAATAATACCCAATTTTAACTGTTATAAATGTTTAACTAAAAAAATGGAAGAACAATTGTCTTAAATAGAGTATAACTCATATTTTTTATTCTTATCATATTTTTTTAAATTAAAAATATAATCTACAAAATGTAATTATTGTTAAAAAATGATTTTTCGGCTCTCCTAAATAATTTCGAAAATGTCGCTTATGCCCTTTTGCATTGTCGCTATCGAATTATAAACAGATAAAAAATAATAGTGCCTATATGCGTATATGTGTATTTAATATTTTTGTACTGTTACTTTTGTAACTATTTATGAGCAATCTTGCATTTCATTTTCAAGCTTTTTTACCAAGGCAAAAAGTTTTTATCGACAGTAGTTTTAAAAAAAATCAACAAAAATTGAAAATTTTACCCTGTATGGAAAATACTAAGTTTAATATTTTGCTAAAAGTGCAAGTGCTTACAGGTAATATATTAGTTTTTGAGTTAGCCCAAATAAATAAAATCTAGTTTGTCAAAAATTAGATTTACCTAAAATTTTCCATTTTTCCATCTTTTGGTTTTCGTTTTTCCCTACGCTTTCAAATAATAATAGGAATTTTAGTTATGTATCCACAAGCTAATTTCAATTTTCTTTTAGAAAAGATACTGATGTTCATAATTTGAGTAATTTAACTGCCCCAAATGTTTATGACAGATAAAAACATTTTTTTTTTAAATAACACTTATCATTATAAATAAAATACATTTATCGTTACGCTCAGAATCTTATATAGGTCGGTTCATACCATTATTATCAATCTTGAAATGAACAATTTTAAATTTTGAGTATAAAAAGTATATTTATATGGCTATAAATTATTAACAATTTCATAGTGACAGCTTTAATCTGTTCGACTATCTCTTGTTAGATCTAGGCAACATCAGATCCTCAGCCTCGAATGTGTTTTATTTATTAAACATAGTATTTTATGAGCCCAATAATATAAAAATGTAGATTTTTAGTTCTAAATAGTGTCGTTAATTAGAAAAAATTGACAACATTTTTATTGACAATTATGATCTTCAAAGGAGTTCAGTTTTTATTTGGGAAATTATGACAAAAACAATTTAAATACTTATCTAAAATGTATTAATCATACCTATGTGATATAAAAATACATTGTTAGACAATAATTTAAGTCATATAGAGTGTAGGTAGACTATAGAATATAGATGGTTCCATGCTGCATACGGTATCCACATGTTAAAATGAAAGTTATATTTCTGTTTTTAGTCAAAATATATAGGTGTGTGAATGTATCTAAAAAATAAGGAATAAAAAACTAATATAAATATGACTTGCCTTACATAGCTTGAAGAGGAAAAAAAGACAACAATGAGAATGAATATCGCTTACCCCAATAATTCAGTGAAAAAAATGTTTTGCAAACCACCAGTGTTGAAACCGTTGAAGAATGAAGACGAAAATAAACTGGAAATTGAGGGTCCAACAGTAGATTCCTATAATTATGGTATGATTCTACTGCAGCGTATAGTTTAATAAATAACAACAAAAGATTGCCTACCGGATACAATGCTTGCATATCCGATGTACCCAGATAATCTATCTAAGTGACTCCCCATGAAAATGTACCTGTTTTGTCCACATATTTTACCCATAACCCCAATTTCTGAGTGATCTTAAACCAGTGGTTCCCAACCTCTTATCAGTGCGACCCTAACATTTTAATTTTAACTTTTCTTAATAAAAATCACAATAATTTCAAACAACTCTCATATTTTATGAACACTAAATTTATTATAGTATACAATAATACAAATATAATTTACGAGTTCCTATATCGATTATTTATATACGATTTTCTTCTTGAATCTATTTTGTTATCCAATTAATTTAGGAAAATATTTGTTTTTGAATATTTAAAAAGATCATGAACTAATGAGATGTAAATTATGCTCCATCAAAATCCTTTATAAAAAACCTCCACAGCCCTAATTTGGTTGGGAACCACTTAGACAATGATAATATGCACAATAATTGTGTGATTTGTCTAGAGTACCACATCATCCACATATGTACATCGCCAGCATTGCCAGGGTTAGAGTTAGAAAAAATATCCATAAAGTTGCTGCAACACTACTAACAGGATTACAGCTCATTCCACTTTTAAACTACCCTTTACTGTATCACTTTAAAAAGATAGTTTGTGTCTTATTCGTAAAAATTGCCCATTGGTCAAGGTCTCCCAATATGCAAGTCTAATAATATGAGATGAGTGCACTATGATTCATAGAACTCACGTAGAGTTCTTAGACACAACTTCCAGAGACATAAGAGGTTCAAATAAAGTTGTGAGTTGAATTACTTTGACATTTTCTGGTGATTTCAGTCAAACATTGCCTGTAATAATTAAGGAAACTAGAGCAAATATTATTAAATCTTGCTTAACATCTTCCACATTGCAGAAGAAACTTGTATACTATCATGAGGAGTCACTTAAGTGGAGGAAGCACAGATTTCCTCAAAAAAGTTCTTTTTGATTGGTGAAAGTAAAGTACTTAATTCAGACAAAACAATTACCATCGACAAAGATCTTAGTGACATATTGACCAACATTAAATACCTGATTTCTGGAGTGTATTCGGATATGGCCAATATCAACCAAAAAAATTATTAATAAATTTGTGAGAGGGAAATTTCAGCTGTCAGGAATACAAGTGTTAATGCCATCAACGACAAAATAATGGTTAAGCTACCAGGTGACAGCGTAAACTACTTTTCCATTGATACCGTCATGGATCAAGAAAACGCGGTATATTACTCTCAAGAACTGTAAAGTTCATTGAATCCATGTGGTTTACCCCCGTATTCGTTCAAATAAGAAATTTACATTATCATTGTTTTATTACGTAACCTTAGACTAACAAATCCAAGCTGTACGACGGTAGTCAATAACACACGTATAACAGAATATTAAAGCTTTAATTACACTGAAGACTTAACCGAATATCATGTTAACATGTAATGGTATATTTATACAACATATTTTATAGTATCCCTTCGATTACCACTCGTTTCACTTTTATACCAAACACCCGCACACAGTTGAATTCATTATACCTATTGTATTAATACTTGCTGCATTTTAAATAAATAAAAATTAACAATATACGGTGATTCAGAGGACAACGTGATGCATAACAGTGGTGAAGTGCAGACAGCGATCGTGGAGGAGGAGGAGTGGCGGCAAGAGCAAGAGGATGCTTGGCCCAAAACCAGTCGAGAGTTCGTGGAGAGCGAAACATGGCATTCCCAACGATGGTCGACGACTTCTATGGAGACCACGGTGACGGAAAATACTATCACGTACCACCGCACCAGACGCGCTGGCTCACAGACACTGCCACCTACGCAAGACAGCTGGTTGAAAAAGCCATTAGGCTGGCTTAGCGCTGATTACAAAGCGTCGAACGTTTCCATCGATTCGATCGCCGAGTCGTCCGACAGCACCATGGTTGAAATGAACCCGCACAAGACGGTTGAAGTGAACGATTTCGACTATTCAGTCGACCACTTCGAATGTAACGAGACCACTGGGTAAGCTATAACATTGTCTGGTTGATACAATGAATATGAGATAGTCATTTTTAGTTATCACTTATTTATTTTATCACGCAGATAGAACCTTTTGGTTTTGACACTATTAGTAAGAATCAAAAGGTGATATTTAGATTGCTATCAAATAACGAATGTGTAAATCTTATCGAAATACACCTTTAAGTTCTGGATAACTCTTTAAATAATTGACTTTTAAGGTTGAATGTGAGCTTATATTATAGAGCATTGACCTGTGTGTATCAAAAAGTGGATTTTCAAAAAAAAAAAAATCGATATAGAAACTTTTGGTTCTGAACCCACGTATTGTAAATTTATAAATATTAATCAATATAGACCATATTATACTAAATAGAAAATACTTATTTTATAAACGTATAAAAATGCGTCACGGAAGACGGTCGACGATAACAGTACGAAGACGATGAGACCCACAAAATCCCGTAAATCGTAATAAAAATATAGAATCCAGGCACAATGCCGGCCGTATTAATTCATGTTGATGAGTGGAGGGAAATCTAGTACTGTCGATCGAGCCATAGGGCACAACGAATTTGTGCCAGCCTCCCAATGACGTAAAATATAGCACCTTGTATCTAAGTATATATATATTTGATAACATTTTAGATTCTGAGTGAAACGATGAATGTATTGATTTTACAATGATGTGTGTTTTTTTTTAAATTTTTTTTTTGTGTCTGTCATCACGTTTTAGGACAGTAAAAGTGCTTGGATTTTCTTCATCAGTAGCTTTTCTGATAGGAAAGTGAATCTAGTTGGTACTTTGAGGGGGTCAAAAGTATAAATTTCCCAGTAATTTTCACAAGCGCCGGGAAAAACAACATACAAATTAAGGAAAAACGGGAATTTTCACGCAAAATCGGTTTTCCAAAAAATCGATTTTGGTTTTTGGTGTAACTCTAAAACAAATCAACGTATATACATGAAATTTTCACTGGTTGATTATATTTGCATTTTATATACACGATAACGTTTTCAAAATATTTTGATTTATTTTGAACTGTTTAGGGACATTTTCATTTTCCATCTTTTTTTAGTTTTTTTTCTAAAAATATCAATAAAATTTTATTTGTTGTTTGCGAAAGCTTGAAAATTTAATAGAAGGCTCCTAATATATTGTTTCAAAGGCAGATGAAAAATATTAAAAATCCTTAGTCACAATTTTTTTTTATAAGCATTTAAAGTTCAAAAATTGACAAAATATGGAAAAATCATGAAAATTAGCAAATTATTTTGAGTTAAGAATTCGTAAAAATTTTTCTTTTTAAATCTAAGATTTTAAAATGTAATACAAGATTACTCATAAGTTTGGCTACCTTTATCAATAAAAAAATCATTACCGGAATGTCAAATTAAATTTTTATGAGCGTTTGAAATTCAAATTTTTACAACATTGGATGTTCACTCGATTTCTCATGTAGTGATTTCCTTATTTTGTTGTAATTCAAAAACGAAGAACTGTAGATACATGAAAATTTCACTGAATGTTTATATTAGAATTTCCTATACACCATACAATTTTGAAAATATTTTGACTTTTTTTGAGCTGTTTATGGACATTTACAGCTTTCAATTTTTTTTAGTTTTTTTTTCTATAAATATCAATAAAGTTTTATCTGTTGGGCCAAAAAGTGTAAAAATTTAATACAAGGCTCCTGATATATTGTTACAATATCAGTTGAAAAATATTAAAAATACATGGGCACAGTTTTTTTTAATAAGCATTTAAAGATCAAATTTTGACAAAATTTAACAAAATCTCGAAAATTATCAATCATTGTAATTAATAAATTATAAAATGTTCAGTTTTTATAGCTAAGGATTGCAAATTCAACACAAAGGTTCTCGTAAATAGTTCATACTGTAACCAAAAAATCTAAAAAATATATGAACACAGTAATTTTTTACAGACATTTTAAATTCAAATTTTTACGAAATTACATATTAAAAAACCTAGAATAACTATTTTAATTATTTTGTTGTGATTGAATAATATTATTCGTTTGTACTTGAAACTTCTAAAGTGTACTATTATATATCTATGATAGTATCAAGGTTTTTGTTGATGTATAACGCGTTACCAGTACCTAATGGATATTGTGATATAATTAATTTGGAATTTATTATAGGTACCTATTATAGGTCAATTTTTTGTTTAATACCATAGATATATGTATATAATATGTCTTATACATAGACTGACATACCGTCTCCGCTCAGAATAGTTTTTCTTATACAATGATATTATATCGTTGAATTCAAATTTAATATCATCCATTATACAGTGACCCAATTGTAACCTACTGTACAGCAGAGCGACACCCACTTGCCCACCTTTTTTATTTCGATAATTTATTTATTTATTTAATTTAATAATAACAATACAAATATTATTATTATTAATAATTAATAAGTAACACACTAACTCCCTTGAAAGATAATGATAGGTACACAATTATATATAACTATATGAAGTAAGAATACAGTGTACGCACAATTAAGCTATTAGCTAACAATTATATAAGAGTAGAACATAATTTAATAAGATACAAACACTTAAAGATTAGTAAGTAATAGAATAATGGAAAAAAGATATATGAAAAAGATGTAAGAGAAAAAATAATATGAACATTTTGTATGTACAATATTTGTATGTATGAACATTATTTTTTAGTTAGTGGTTAGTAAGAATATGGTGGAAATTCCAACTGAGGTAACCTCAAAAATCAAATTTTACACGGCACACTAAAGTAATAATAACTTTGTTCCAAATTAATCTTTTTGTGTTAGTTTTTCTCAGGGGCGTCCGCAGGGGGGAGGCTAACGGGCTGAAGTAACCCCCCCCCATTGCCCCTATTATTATTACTTTTCAAAAAAATATTAATCAAGTTTAAACTGTCAAGTATAGTAAATCTCATATATGTCTTACCAGAATGAATTCATTTTTGAAAAAACATTGTATTTGCACACCAATTTTCATAAATTATCTGTAATTTTTCGGTAAAAATATGAACTACTTATGGGTATGAAAGACCTTGTATTAAATTGTCTAGCCTTAGATATACACATTTTATATTTTATAAGTTTTGAACTATAAATTAACCGTGGTTTTGACGAAATTTGAACTTTAAATTCTTATAAAAAATAACCATGATGCCTATGTATTGTTAATATTTTAGCTATAATAAAAAAACTTACGTAGGTACTACATTTTTAAGCTTTTTGACCTGATGAATAATTTTTTATTGACATTTATAGAAAAAAAAATGTAATTAATCAATACAATCCAAGTTATTAAGACGGTATAACCAAGCTTGTTACCAAACAATTTAAATAAATTTTCATTTTTTTTCTCCAATTATTTTTAAAAGTACTAAGAATTTTCAATTTCGACCTCCTAAAAGTACTCACTAGATCCAATTTGCTTCCAAAAACATACACTGGGCATCGAAGCTTATGATCAGAGCATTTTTTCCACCAGAAGAGTTCAAAAGTTACAAACATTTTAAAATACCATAAATAAACGTCTGCAATATTATTAGACTGGACAAAATTAAAATTAAATTGTAACTAATTTTCAAGCCCACCCCATTGAAAAATCCTGCGGACGCCACTGGTTTTTCTTATTGTAAGACTCTATATCTTGTAATTCTTTGTATGAATCGAATTAAATGAATGCACATTTTATTCATTATTTAATCAATTACCAAAGTAGAGGTATTAGTGGGTTATATTCAGTGGCCGGCTAAAATAAAAGTCATTGTTGGTTACATCATGTGGCATTAAGGGATATCTGTGGGTTACACTATCTTGCCAAAAAAATAAATGGTATCCAAATAACGTAACCATCAATTACTTAAATACCAATAAATTCATTTAAATAACAAAAATATTTCACTTTTTTGACAATTTATTATAGTGACAATTAACAGTATTATAAATTATTATTAATATTAGTGATTATCAAAATGATAAAATTCGCGACACACTACAGCGGTGGTGGTAAAATTATTTTGTCTTGGCGGTGCCGCCCTGGTGGCGGTAAAATTGTGTCCAAATTCTCACAATAATGTGTGATAAAACCAGTGTGGTTTCTTTAATAACAATAATAATACTATAATAAATTATATTAATTTCATTACAACCATGGTTGTATATTTCAACCATGATTACAACGACAAACACGTGATCACATTTCATATTTTGTTGGGTTGAGTTATTTGGCTGGTAAAAATGTGATATTTGGCTTAAATACCGAGGCTTACATCGATGCTTACATTACTTGACTGGAATAAATTGTGAATTGTTCCAATTCTGGTGGGTCATGTTATGGCTTACGTTAATTGGCATTATTAACATTATTTTGTTTATGAGGGTTGAGTCATTTGAGTTGAAGAAAAATACAATTTTATACCAGAAATACTCATTTGTGGGTTACAATATTAGGCCAGAATGTGTATTATAGTGTCAATAATAATAATAATCACCTTTAAAAATAATGAGGGTTACATCAGTTGCCCTTTTCACCGATAATATCTTAAATTTATTAACAATATTATCAAAGAAAAAATCAAAGTTAGAAATGTTCTTACAAGAGATCAACATACGGTTAAGTGGACTGTATTTAACGAAATTATTATTGCCGAAGTTGGTGAAAAATAATTGAGGCAGACAAGTACCTATCATAAGTTAGCACCTTGAGAAAAATGTGTTTAACATTTTCAAATAAATAATAATATACCAATTATATTATGATGGAAGAAATATCTATTCAATTTTAATTTAATATAAATTCTTGTTATTTTTTTCAATTTTGCTTTGGGGCACTTGCACGTGTGCCGCCACTATCCAATATCTCATTATACCTAGTAGGTACCTACATTAAGCTAAGCTCCGTTAAATAACTTATAAGGTGGCTCTTTATGATGTGTACAAGAGTACCAACTCATCGTAATAGTTCGTTAGAATATTGAGGGGGCCGTAAATATTAAATCGAATATCTTTATAAATTAATAAAATAAGTATTTTTTTTAAATTAAATTTACTTATTACTTATTTCTTTTGAATAAACAAAAGAGGTTCTGCCTATTTTACTCAAAACTCTTGACTGCTGTATCGGCCATGGCCAGTGGCCCTCTACGGCCAACACTGAGAGTGGGGTCCGCTAGCTAAATGTATAGCCAGCCTGTGAATCATGTACTCTAGTTCAGTAGTTGTGTATGCCAACGTACATGAATATTCTATAAGACTATATATATTATAATATAATATGAACTTATAACTAAATATTATATTATTACACAACAAAAATGTTAGTCCCTACTTAATTTTTGACGCCAACGTTATCCTAAATCAAGACTCAGATAGAATGGAAGTGACCGTTCCTAAATGGTAAAAGTTTTGGTTTCAGGGACAACGGAAAAAAGCTAGGTGGTAAACCGGAATATGACGGTGAGAGCGACGATGGTGTGGAGCTATCGGAGACGTTGCGCGACCTCACCATTACAAAGATGGACGCGGACGAGGAAACAATTTATAAGATGTTCCAAAAATACGATGCCAACATGGCGGCAGGCAACCAGCAGCAGCCTTCAGTATTTTCTTCGGGCACCGGTATTACGGTAGCCAAAATTGACCGGACCAAACATGTAGATACACCGTCGATGAAAGGCATGCCGGGGACGCCGCTTCCGTCAGTGGTGCAAGTGGCCAACGAAGGGCAGTCGGTGAGAGACCTGGGCAAGAAGTCGTCCATATTTGACTTGCCACCCAATGATCGTGGCAGCCGCGGAGTGGCTATACACGCTGACGACCACGTCAGCAATACGTCTGCTGAGGCCAAAGACTGCGATCATGACGTGGCCGCTGATGAACGTCCGCCACCGCTTATCAACGAGGTCAGACACAATATTCATAATTTTGGCATGTCAGCTAGCTTTTTATTTATTTCTGCTCTCCCCCTTCAGAGTCAGACCTCGTTAAGAATATCAATTTGTACAGTAAAAATTAATTCTGTACATGGTTATCTATACTAATATTATAAAAAGGAAAGATTTGTATGTTTGTAACGAATAAACTCGAAACCTACTGGACCAATTTCGAAAATTCTTTCACCATTAGAATGTTACATTATCCATAGATATCGATGAATATTTGTCTGTATGTCTATTATGTATTCAGGAACAGCTGGAGCTGATTTTGATGAAATTTGTTGTGTGTGGTTGAGTGGTTCTCTGAATGATTTAGATTCACAATATTGGACCCTGTAGGTCCAACCGGGGAACAGCTGAGATTTTAAGGTTTATGGTGGACATTTTTGTTTATAAATGTTTGCTATGTAATAATTAGTAGAAATTAATATTTTATTTGTATATTGGTTGCCATTTGTTAATCGGGAAGATCAAGCATGCATACAATCGAATTTTTGCACAATGCCTACTTGATATTCTATCGCTGATGTCCTCGAACCGTCGTAGTCTTAGAAAAAATCCAACCCACGGACATCATTTACTGCAGCGAGTTACACCCAAAAGGAGTTGAACAATCACAATTTTTTTAATAGTTGACATTTTTTACGGGCAACGAAGTGTGCGGGATCAGCTATATTATAATAAATTAGAAGATATATGGCATAAAAATGTTGTACAAATATATTTATTAAAAATACAAATCTTTGGCCTGAAACACTTCGGACAGAACAGCTAGTACCTAAATAATATAATGGGCATTAAAATAGGAAAAACAAATACAAGTTTATTATACAAAGAAATATGAACATTGAACAATAATACTTATTGTCAACTGATCACTTTCAATTAACTGGCATAGGAATCAATACACAATGATAACAACTCGGATGAAGTAGACAAATTAATAAAATATAAAATCATATCCAATGTCATAAATGCAATTTGCAATGCAAATAGTTTCTGTTTATCAAAATAATTCCGGATTATAATAACATTATTAAAGTACCATCCAGTCCTACATTAATATTCTGTAAATGAAGTTACGATACAACAGGTTCGTAAATAGACAATATACTCGTTTTATCTTTGTATGGGCTCAGATGCGTATTTATTAAATTTCAATGTCGAGTGAGGGGGTCAACCAAAGGCAATTTCATAACTCTTGGTCACCTAAATATGTGTTTTCATTATGTCTGCGATATATATTATTCTCTTGAAGATCAAAAACTATTCATATAAAATATAAATAAGTGTTTATAAAATGTTGTTAGGTTCTATTTATTGTTTTTAAATTGTATATAATAAATGATAATATTATGGTGATAATATTTAAAATGTTGCTTATATATTTGAAGGACGGCTCGGTAAACATGACACGACTGCACTCTGTAATTCACAAATTACCGAATTGGAAACAGCTAAGAGTAAGTTAATTTCACCAATTGTATTCGATGTTAACTAACGAAAATCTGTTGCCAAAATAAAAAGTTGGTGATCACAATATGAATTTGTACAATTTTTTTATTACTCAATATTTCATATTATTATTTTGAATTATAAACTTTAACCAATATTGACAGGAAAATCAATTCGAAACTAGTTTAGTAGTATAAAATATAGAGCTGTTTTTAAACCACACCACAGTGTATTGTGTACAGACTGCACATCCTCACAGTTTACACCGCTGCCACAGCTGTTACACTCCTCCATAAATAACACATTTAAGCCTAAACCCCTATTCCGCCGTGACAAACGGGCCACTGACTAGTTTAAGCATTCATTTCTAATATTATATGGCAATGTTAGTTAATTAATATACCTTTTATTGTAAAGATTATTGAAATTAGAGGTGGCCTTAAGGAACAAACATAAAAAAAAAGTTAGTTGTTTTCCGGCATTAAATGTGTTAATTATGTGTATTTTTTTTAATGTCGAGGTATACTGGCGTATACTTGCGTGTTTGCACTTTTGGGCCTTTGGGGCAGTAGTTACTGGGGTACCTATAGTGTTTTAGTATATAAACAATTAAGTACCTACTAAGCTCATTTACATTTACATATGTAGGTATCTAAAGCTCAAAATTATTTTATTGTTTGTACCTAATAAGTATATGCTCATCTACATAGGTTGTATTGAAATTGATGTCAATTATGGGTGACCCTGTGGCAAGTTTTCCGGAAATAATCGAACTGAACAAATTGAGGAGATGGTACGAATTACGAATAAATGAAAACAGACATATGACGTTGAAAATGAAACGTTAGTAAAGTTTGATTATTATCATCATCTAATATTATTATCGTGCACAATACTATACTTAACCATAAATATTTTTTTGTCACGCCTGCACCGAAAACTTAGTTTTCGATGACGGTTGAAGCTTTGGATTTTCAGTCCAGCTGGTGGTAAAGTGGGAATCCCTAATAGTGCCGGGCCAGGGCGGTAAAGTGGAAATCCAAAACAGTGCCGGGTGGTAAAATGGAAATAACCAAAAGTGCTCGTCACACATATCACGTGCGTATGGCATATCTCCTCGCACAACCAGACACTAAAATCTATACCACGGCCCTTACAAAATATATACATTTGGTTACATCTTATATTTATATTATAACCTCCAAGCGTGTGACGCTTAAAATAAATAAAACCAAATCGTTTCTTTCATGAAATATTTTTGTCGTAGAATTGTGGTCTAGTTGTTGCATAAATCCCTGCATTAACTTTGATGAACGCAGAGGCGTGACAAAAAACAGTATGTGTAGCTCGTGTGGGGAGGCCATTTCAGACTTGGGCGAAATGCGGCACAAGTCGCCCGCGACTGCAATAGCTCACTTCCCGCCCTTGCCACACAATATCCTATTGAAGTGTGTAATTCGTGGTATAATATTTAAATAGAAAATGTTTATTTAATGGTTTAGAAAACCTGATGGTTCAGTCGATAAACGCGTGGAGTGCACCACGGATCAAACTGACGTCCGTTCACGTACCACAGAACCCAATGCAAGGTGAGGGCAAAATCGGTGCGATGAAAATTACTTGGGATCGTGTGAACGAAATGAAACGCAAAGTGAGTGTCATTTTTCGATGTATAAGTGAAATATACACACGGGTTTTTACATAATATACGTAGGTATATGACATACGGTTTGGATTTTGTATCATGTCCATTGCCGATATACTATTATGTATAATATATAAGTAGCTATCGTCATTGCCAAAACAATACTATACATAATATTATATATAAAAAGTTAATATTCCAAGAGATAAAAAAAAATAAAAATACTAAGGGAAATACTTGGAAATAATTTTGACTAAATATTCAAATATGATTAGAAAAATTATTTTTCATACAATTAATAATTATATTTTTCAGTAATTATAGTTAGGATTTGCGTGGTGTTGTCTTTAATATTCAGATAATAGTGTGAAGATAATTACGTGATATTAAATATTAATTTTTTTCATAGTTTAAAATTTCAATATCGTATTTTGTACCCATAAAAAAATAATTCTTTATCACATTGAATATTGAAATGTCTTTATAATATAATATTTTTAAATACCTACATGTTTTCATTTAAAAAAAAAAATCTACTGAAATGTGTGAGTTCTTCGAGACACGGAAGTTTTACAGCTTCACTTCTTTCTTTAGGTACTTATAACGAAACATAAATTCGTTTTTCTTGTTAGGTGATTTAAATTTTGCTAAAAATTTGTAAATATTTTTAGTCTCTCTAAAAATGTATATATTAAACATTTATTTTAAAGACTTTTCACAAGTCTTACTATTATGTTATGTAGGACCGATTTTTTTAGCTTCCTTACGTATGTAATTCATGATATATTTCTTTCCTTTGTTCTTCTAGAACCCAAGTAAGGTTTACCATCCATACGCAATATTCGATTAAAATTGTCTTCAGAATATTGATGATTTTATTTATTTCCATGTATACTAATAACAATATCTTCTGAACTTTATACATTTATATTTTAAACGAAATACTGTTTTGGCAACGAGTAACAACAAAATAATACACATTTTTTTTTTTAAGAAAATCTATTATCTAAGGGGTGGATAAACAATCGCTGCATTTTGTTTTTTTTTAATATTGTTGCAATAAGAACACTTTCTTCAAATTAAGCATTTAATAAACTATTAAAGAATATAATATAAATGCATTGTTTAGTATTTTATTTTACATTTATTTCCATTAATTAAATTTAATGAACCGGTGATAAAGAGTATATTTTGTTTTTTATTCTTAAAATATTCTTACTTATTTTCTTATTAATGGCCAGGATCGACCAAAATATAATTTAGCAACATTACCTATGATAATATTATTGATTTAAAAAGGAGAAACAACATATTTTATTCTTCAAAACGTAAACTTTATTATAATGCACCTTTTATAATTAATAAGAAAGAATAGAAAACATCATGACACCATGATCGGTCCATAGTCTATACTTGACTGCGTAGCGCATTAAAAAGAAATAAATTAATAATAATAACATAACCTAGAAAATAGATTAAAACAATAAAAGGAATTGTGTCTAACTTCAACACTCCCCTTCAATTCCAGCATTAAACAAAAAAAAAAACTTAATAATATAATATAAACAACAAAAATATTAAATGTGTAATCCAATTTTTAACAAATTATTCTTAAATTTACTTGTAGGCAGGGACTTTGTCAGCATATCAGCTTCTTGATCAGTTGTATGAATGTATTTTAACTGCACTGTTCCATCTTGAACTTTTTCTCGAATGTAGTGGTGTTTTATATCAATATGTTTGGTACGTTTATGGTATTCAGGGTTTGATGTTAATTTTATGCAGCTTTGATTATCTTCATAGAGTAATGTAGGTTCACTAACATCCAAGTTTAAAAATGATATAAGACTTCTTATCCATAGTACTTCACATATCGCATCACTCACAGCCATGTACTCAGATTCAGTTGACGAGATTGCAACTGTTTGTTGTTTTCTAGAACACCATGATATTGTGCAACCATAAAGTTTAATCAGATAACCTGTTGTAGATCGGCGATCGTTGA